TATAAGCCGGACAAAGTTAATGGAAATATAATGGAAAAAGTGACGGAGGTGACAAATGGTGACAGAGGTACGACGGAAGTTAGAAGTAAGGGTTATTTTCTTCCATTCTTATAAGTTAAGGACTAAAACCGTTATATTATAAGGTGAGAAGTTAAAACCGTCCAACTTATCAAGGTAAGGGGCTATTTTTAGGCCTTTGCCCTGATTATTGTCACACGATAAAATATATATATATATTTTAATAAGAATTTATCTAAATTATGTGTTAAATATAGATTAAGAATCTTTAAAAAAATAATATTTAATATATTAATTATCTAATTAAATATATTTATGTGATAATAATATTAAAATTAATATCCACTTTAATAATTTTTTATATAAATTTATTAAAAAATAATTTTAATATGTACCTTTAAAAAAAATATTTTAAATGAATACAAATTTAGAGAGGAAAATTAAAACTTAGTATCTAAAAATAAGAATATATTTTTTACAAGGATTTTTTTTAAAGATCCATGTTAAGGATATTTTTTACAATAAATTTATATAAAAATATCAAAGTAAATATTAATTTTAAAATTAATATCATAAATAAATTTAATTAAATAATTAATCAATTAAATATTATTTTTTATTTTTTTAAAAATTTTAATATGTATTTTTAGGTACATATTACAAAAATTCTTTTTACAAAAATTTATAGTAAATTGACCTTTTTAGGGCAGGTGCTCACACGGCAAAATATTGAGGCTACACAAAATTAAAAAATTTCAGCCTTGGGGACTATCCTGTCCCCCGTTCATCACCAGAATCAAACTCCTATTTTTGCCTGGATTTTCTAAAACGAAAAGTCCAAATTTCTTATTTACACGTTTATATTATTTTTTATATTTAATATTTTTTAATAATTTTTATTTTTAATTAATATTTTTTATAAATTAAATTTTATTAAAAAAATTCTAAATTATTAATAAAATTAAGGTGTAAATAAGGGATTTAATTGTCAATTTTTAAGGTTTTTATAAGTTTCAAATAATAGATGGTGTCAAACAGAGTAAAAATTTTTGAGAATATTGATTACAAAAAAAAATGTATAATGTGCAAATAAAAAGTTTTACCAAACAAAAATGTTAAAATTGCAATATTATGTAGTATTGTAAGTTTATAATATAATATATTATATAATTAATTTTTTTTATTCCTGATTTACTTATGATATTATATATATCTATTTATTTAGTATCATATTATATATCATTTTATACCGCATAAGATTATAACTTATAATTTCACGTAACATTGTAATTATAGTATAATTATAAAATTGTATCCCAATTGTAAAAATTAAGTGTATTCTCAAGAATTTAAATATTTTAATAATAATTTTTTATAAAAATAAAAAATTTTACTTTACGCCATATAATATATGAATATAATATATTAAAGTAATGTTACCAATTTCGTATTGTATCGATCGGCACGGTCGATACATACTGGTTTTTTGTATTGACCGAAATGGTATAATATGAAGATCTATTTTAGTCAAAATCTGGGTGATTTGGTCAAAATTTAGGTGATTCGATCAAAATCTGAGATATCGGTCGAAATTTCAATGTACCAACCGATACACGAAAATTTCAACTAATACACACTATGACAAATTAAAAAGAAAGAAAAAGAAAAAGAAAAAGAAGGGATTCCCTAGCCCAAAACAATGTCGTTTTGGGCTAGGGGCTTCTTAATCTTAATTCTACAATTGCAATTTCAGATTACACGCCTTGTCGTCCTCGATCCTCGAGTCCTGGACACTCCTCGCCAGTGGTGCAGGCCTGCAGCTGCTGCTCCTTCTCTTGTTGCACAAACCTTGCAAGCTAGATCTTGGATCTCGGAGGGCGATTCACAGGCTAAGGGCTCTAATTTCATATTTCAATTTCTGTAGTTTTAGAATTATTGTAGCTTCGAGTTTCGCCGGTGGTAGTAGCCGTGGCAAAGGATCTGGTGAATATATGGGGAGATAGAGAGGGAAGACCGTGGATTTGGGAGGATAGTCTCTAAAGGGTTGATATCGTTATTTCCTAAGACTCTCCTCGCAATGTTTTTAGTACTTGGGGTGAGAAGCATTGTCCCTTGACAGAAACAATGGACAGAAACAATTGAAGAACCCCTTGTGATGAAGCCGTTGAGTGTCTATTTTTAAAATTGTAATAATAGATGACAAATACAATTGCCTTCTTTTTTTTTT